TAAAGACTAGCTGTTTAAATCCAGGCAAAACTGGCTAGCACCCTTTAAAAAAAACAACAACATGATAAAATAGTAATAGAATTAAACTTCAGGAAGTTGAGGTTAATTTTTTAAATTAAATACTATTCAAATGATAGGAAATTAAAATTCATCTAAACTTAGGTCCAGTTGAGAAAATTTCTAGAGAAAATCAAGGTTAAAAAGCTGGATAATTTAGAGGCACAGTTAAAAGATTTTATTACTATAGCTATAAAGTTAGCTATTATAACAGGGCCATTTAATGACACCTGGACAAAGGTTAATATTAATGTAAAGGTTCTCAGATCCGAGGGAAGCTACTGGTGAGCTCAGGCCTCTGTGTCCAGTTGCCTACCAGACAGCAGATTAAGAATCTTAAAAACACCTCAACTCAGCATGTATAGAAAAGAACTCATCAGATACATACACGCCCCAACCGTCATCAGCCACCAGCTTCATTGCCTGTGTTCTTGTCTCAGTAAATGGTCCTGCCCAGGAAGAAAACCCAGGAAGCATCCTTGATGCTCCCTTTCCCTCCCTCCTTTCTTGCTGAGAGAAAACAGAAAAACATGAAATGTAGTCCCTACCTACACTCAAATAGCTTACATTTGCTTGGAAAGCTAAGACAAATTAAGCCAGTAAAAGGTAAAAGTTATAGAATAAATATACAAGACCCCTTGTAATTGCCAATGAATTTTACAAGCTTTATGGCTTAGGGTTTCCGCAGAACATATAGTCAGTCACTCCAGGTGAAGATAGTTTTGAGGTGGCCAACACTGTAACTGATAAGGAGCACCCTATTGCTTGCTCTGATAGCCTGTGTGTGGTTCACCAGTACATTGTCCCTGATCCCTTTTACTAGGAAAAAAACACACAAACGATCCTTTGTTGATGTCTCTTTCTCTCAGGCAGGGACAGTGGCGATTTTAATCTTTTCATCTCCCGAGCTTTTCCAAACCACTGTTGTAAATGCCCCGTAAGGTTGGTGTAGCCTGTTTGCAACTCTTTGATGTTGTCTTTCAGTATCTAAATGCTGTGCTGCATTGTTCCAGGTTAGACTTCAGTGAGTACTAGTAAAGTTTCTTGAGTATGCCTTAGTTATGAAAACACCACCACCATGATGCTGTGAAGTAGATACATACCTACCTGTGGTTGTCTGCTCTGTCCTTGGGGACTGGCCAAGCCATATTGCCAGTCATTGCTTTGGGGTTGGTTGCATGGTCCTTTGGAAGACTTGACATTAGTTAAGAATAACTAAAATATTGAAGCACTATTAAATTCCTGAAGTGTGGGACAGCAGATCCAAATCTTACAACCATAAAGGAAGTTAGGTATCACCTGTGGATTAGTGACTATTCAATTTTTCGTTCTGTGTGAGCATCACTTTAGAAGAAAGTGCTTCCTGAGTTGCCTTTAGAGCACTCTGTCCTCTTACTGGGCACACGCCTTGATTTCATTTATCTCTAGACAGTTGTTAACCCCAAACATTAAAGCCTGCTTCCATAGCACAGCCGCGGGCATGAAGCAGTGTCTCAGTGGTCTTCACAGACTTGGGTGATGATCATGCTTCTTGAGTTGGGGAGAACCCGTTTTTTCTACAGTAAGATTCCAGGATATTTTTTAAGCAACCTTTTTGCCTTTTTTTGTGTATAGCTAAAATGCATTTAAAATATAATCTGATGCATTAAAAGGGCAGTAACATCCCACTTATTGGTAGGCAAATATATCTCAGAAATGTCAGAAACACATCCAAGAACCAAAAACTGAGGATTATAAAGGCCTCTGAGCAATTGGGATTTTTGTTAGAAAATTCATGTACTTTACTCATAAAACTATTCCCAAGCGTTCATTCAGAACCTATTTATTTTTACTTAAAGTGAGTGGAAGTACTCTTCTAAAGGTGAAAGTGGGACTCCTAAATACAGCTTATATTTGGAAGCACATAAGAAGAAAAATTTTCATAAAATGCAGACTGCCGTTGGCTTTTATGTATTTAGGTAGACAAATTTATTTAATTGAGTAGCCCTCGAAACTATCATTATATTTCAGTTTAGTATAATAAAAATAATGCCTAACTTCAATAATAGTGCACATGGTAATGATCCTGAGTCATTAACATAGAATAAATTGTGTTCAGAGAAGGATGTAATTTTTAAAAGACTTCCATTAAAAATGTTTTAAAATTTTAAAATATTTGGTACTTGAAGGAAAAACTTTATCTAGAACATTCATTTTTTTTAGCTTGTAAGAAAACATTAATGCACATTTCTGATCTCCGAGTTATTTTTATTGGAGCATATTTAATGTGATTGGCTGACATTGATTGTAACTGATATTTGTATAAACTTTGTAGGTTTTCCTTTGCAGCAATTCTGCATGGTAAATGGGGCAGGTGCTCTATTAAGACCCAAAATGGCTAAGTGTTTTGGCCAAGGTCACAACTATTATAGTAAGTGACTGACTGCTCTCCATCACTTCACAGTATGATACCATGTAACACATGCAGCCAAACCTCGTTTTATCGCACCTCACTTTATTGTGCTTCACAGATGTGGTGTTCTTTTTACAAATTGAGGGCAAGACCCTCCACCAACAAAAAAATTAGGACTTGCTATATTGTGATACTCTCTTTATTGTGGTGATATGAACCCGCGATATCTCCAAGGTATGCCTGTTATGCCAATGGACATGGCCACAAGGTCCTCCTGGGCGGGGGCCTGCAGCAGGGGACTCCTCATTTCTCCTTGAGCTGCAGAGTCTGCAGCTGCATGAAGTTCATTGTGCACGTCTCGTTGAGTCCTAGAATTAGAAATGACTTAACAGTCCCTCACCTAAGGGTGTCACTGTTCTAAAGGAAGACAGTAATATTTGCCGTTCTCACACAGCATGAGTAACTTTTTCCTTCTATATGTTGCCTTTTGAAACCTTCCCTGAAGGACAGTAAATACATACCATATGTGTACTGCTCAATGAGCTTTTTTCTAATTACTTTGGTCTTCTTTTTATTAGGTTTCTGCCTCATTGCCAGCGTACTTAAAAGTTCACCACCCCCTGCGCTGTTATAATATTTCCGTAATAACCCTTTTTCTTGGTTTATTCACAGTTCAGTGAACAATTTCAAGTTTGAGACAGGCATTTTCTAAGACATGTCTATCTAATCCGTAGCATAATGTAGACCCTTTCACATATTCATGGCGCCACTGATTAAAACTGCTCTCTTGCTGGTTGTGAAAATAAAAGCAGCTTATTTGTAAAGCATTTTAACAAACTTTACGAATAATTTCTTGGTTATATTTTATTTTGTATTTAGACATGTTTCAGCAATTTTATTCACCAGTTGGTCTTAAAAATATCCCTGAGTCAGGAACAGAGAACCTAAAATTGAGTACATGCGTTTTTTGTGCTTTATGTATATTACCTAATATGTTAACAATCATTTGAAATATTGATATTCATTGCCAACTTATAAAAGAGGAAACCAAGGTTCAGAGAGGTTAAATAATTTTCCTTAGATCCTGTAGATAGTAAATGTCAGAGCAAGAAGTAGAATATAGATTTTTCATATTCGACCATCTGTGCTCATTCCACTAAAACACACTGTTCCAGAAACCAGAGGAGTGTGGAGAGGAAGGAGGCTGGTGTAGGCTGTGTAGGGTAAGCCTTCCTTCCTGTAAGGCACTTTATGGCTGAGAGATCAAGTCATAGATTGACGAAAAGAAGAATTAACTGGAAGATATCAACACACATTTATTAAACTGCCCTCAATGCTCTGCCTTGCTACCTAAAGAGTCAGATAGTAGTCTCCTGAGGAATTACAATCCAGAGAAAGAGAGATTAAGAAGTTGTATAAAACTCCAGAAAATTGAAACACTCCAACTGCATGGGCTTAGTAAAACCCAGACATCCAGAAACACAAAGCAGCTCTTAGAAACATTTGACCATCTAAGCAGGAATTCCCTTTATCCTTTCTTGAATCTAGGATCAGCCAGCCGAGTGGCTCAGTTGGTTAAGAGCTCGCTCAAGAGTTTGAGCTCTGAGCAGCAGCAGTTCGAGTCCTGGCCTGAGCTGAGCTGCCGCTGAGCTGCCAACAGGTGGCAGGATGGCTCAGCTAAAAAAAAAAAAAAAAAGAGTTGAATCTAGGATCATCCTTTACCATCACCCCTAATGTCCAGGTTAAACCCCGAGAGTTGTCCTAGATAACTTATGGAAATGGTGAGGAGGGTTCTTCACTGTGGACTGACTTCCTGTGGGTTGTCGTAAAATGATTATTGAAGGTCTAAGAGAATGTAACTAATGGGGCGTGACTGAAGACAATACTACCACCCCACACTTACAGGGCCTTACAGGTTACAATGCCATTTCATACCTGTTTCCTTACCTAGAGGTTAGGAATCAGAAATTGCTTGTTGTTCGCTGTTCAGTGTGTCTGAAATGTGAAGTTATTAGTCTCTATTCCTCCGTGCCCCAGGAAAGAGGTAGAACTCCTGTATCCCTGTTTGCAGAATTATACAGTCCAACCAATTAGTCCATGCTGAGAACCCATGTTAAAACTATATACTTTCTCTTAAGTATTTCTAAACCAAGATTTGTAATACAGTGTCTGAATTTGTGTCAGTGTTATAGACTTATAAGCCAATGATTATTTAACAGGGATACCTAGGCCTAAAATAAAAGTATATGTTGACCAAGATTTTAGTTTTTGAAAAAAATTTCTTTTCAGGATTTCTTCTCTATAAGATAAGAATTATTTGTGAATGATCACTTAAAAAGTGTGAAGATGTTGTCTCTAACAATTAAGACTATAACAGCCTTATATTTTAATTAGGTAAATACTCATTCATTGAATTAAAACTATATGGGCATGGAGAAGCAGTTTTGATCAGAGTATCCACTCTCTTTACAACACGAGTAACATCTGGTGAATGAAAATGGTTCTTTGGAAAATGACCATACTAATTCTTTCTTTCTCTTTGTCTGTCTAGTGAGAACACAACGGAGGCAATAGCAGCAGATTCTAACAGTCAGTCGAAGTCCCCCCTGGAGAAGTTTATGGTCAAACTGTGCACTCATCATCAGAAGCAGTTCATTCGTGTTCTGAACGATCTGTACACGGAGTCTCAGCCAGGCACTGAGGACCTGCCACCTTCTGATTCGGCAGCAATGGATTCATCCACCTGCAATGCTGGCTGTGCCCAGCTAGGCACCAAACCTAAGGAGAATGATGCTATGTGTCTCAATATGAAGTCTCCTCCTGTAGATTTCTTAGTAGACTCCTCAGGCTCTCACAGCCCTCTACACTTTGCAGAAAAGGCCCTAAAGGAGCCTCCTCCAGAGACAAACTCTGTAGACAGGAGAGAGAACGCCTTGACTGTTGTCCAGAAAGATTCCTCTGAACTTCCAACCACTAAACCTAATTCTGGGAGTTCAATGGACAGTTCCACTCTGGGATACCTCACTGCATCTAATTCTTCCTCGTTCAACTTCCACCACATCTCTAAGAGCTTGGAGGGGCAAACCACTGGACAGGAGCAAGACGCAAATGTGAAAATATGTGAGGATGGTAAAGACCATATGCAGAGTTCAGCTTTAGTAGAAAGTCTAATTGCAGCAAAAGCGGCAGCTGAGAATAGTGAGGAGAACAACAGCTGTATTGTTTCTCCAAGAAATTCATTCAAAGCTTTATCAGAAGAGGCTTGGGACTCAGGGTTTGTGGGGAATTCATCTAGAACTGCTGACAAAGAGAATACGTTACAGTGTAGCTCCAAAACACCTTTGCGCCAGGACTTAGAGGCAAGCGAACAAGATTCAAGGCCAAAGCAAGAGAACCATCTTCACTCACTCGGAAGAAATAAGGTCGGCTGCCATTTACATCCCAGTGATAAGGGCCAGTTTGATCACTCCAAAGACGGTTGGTTAGCCCCCAGCCCCGTGCCTGCTGTACACAAAGCATCTAATGGACATTCACGAACCAAGATATTATCAACCTCCATCAAGACCGCTCGGAAAAGTAAACGGGCATCAGGGTTGAGGATAAATGACTATGATAACCAGTGTGATGTCGTTTATATCAGTCAGCCAATAACAGAATGCCACTTTGAGACTCAAAGATCAATATTATCTTCTCGGAAAACAGCCAGAAAGAGCACTCGAGGTTACTTTTTCAATGGTGATTGTTGTGAGCTTCCAACTGTTCGCACACTGGCCAGAAATTTATACTCCCAAGAAAAAGCAAGCTGCTCAACACTGGCGTCAGAAGCAGTGGTCACTCCCAAGCAGACCCTAATAATTTCAGCTCCAAAACCTACAGTAGATGTGGAGCTTCCCAGAGAAGACAATGCTGAAGAGCCTAGTAAAGAAATATCTGCCCTCAAGGAAGGGGACAAAGATGCTTCATCTGAACAGGAATCTCAAGAGCCTGAGGTTTGCCCCATGACGAGTAAACTGAATCCAAGCAGCTCTCCTAGGTCAGAGGAAACGACAGCTTCCAGCCTGGGGTGGCCTCTCCCCGCTCACCTTCCTGAAGAGGATATGCCAGAAGACAGCTTCGCGGCCTCAGCTCCCACGGCAAGTGGGCTGTCTTCTCCTGAACGAGACCAACAACCAGTTGAACTGCTGGATACAGAGGAGATGAGTGAACCCCAAGACTGTCTCCCGGTTCTCTCTACTGAGAACATGTCTGAGGGAGTCAGTGAAGATGTGTCTAGGCCTCATGCTTCTCCCGAAACAGTCAGTAGAGTGGAAAGTCCTCTGTGCTCAGAAAATCAAAGTCCTGCAGTGAGCTTGGAGCCTCCCATGAGCCTGGGAAAGGCTGAGGATGACCAAAGCATCAGTACTGAGGCCGAGACTGAAGACACTCGGGAGCTAGATACTGACCCACTCGTGAAGGAAAGCAGCACTTTTACTAAGGAAAACCCCAGTGAAATTGAAGAAAGTGAGGCAGCAGGTGGTATAAGAAAGTCAGAAGGAGAGGGCAGTGATGTAAAACATCCTTCAGAAAAAGATATGTGCGAACAAAACATTGACTTACCTGAAGAGAACTCGGACAAGAAGAAAAAAGGTAAAAAATTTCCTGAGGCCTCTGATAGGTGCCTAAGAAGTCAACTTTCAGATTCTTCCTCTGCTGATAGGTGCCTAAGAAGTCAAAGTTCAGATTCTTCCTCTGCTGGTCCTGAGATCAAAGTTTCTAAAACTCTTGGTGCAAAACGTTCTAAAAAAGAAGGGTACCCTGGTAGGACAACCCCTGAGGGCTTTCTGACTGACGGTCTCCATACAAAAGCTCTAGAGGACACTGAAAACCCAAATGTCAATGAAAATCCATCTGAGAAGGATGCTGAGCAGGAGGGCAACGCAGCTGGGATCATCACCAAGCCGACTTTTAAAAACATGCTGGCCAAAGAGGTCAGAGGGGAAGAAGGAGACGTTTTTCCCAGCGGTGATCCTATAACCGCAGTCGGCCAGGCCCTACCTGGAGAGAGACTAGAAATCTATGTCCAGTCTAAGTTAGGGGAGAAAAATGCTCATGACCCCTTAGAAAGTGTTCCGTGTACTTTCCCAGAACAATTAGAAGAGAAGCTAGGACCTGTTCCTGCACAAGATGTGGAAGAGGTTGTCAGCGAGGTAGACAGTGCAAACACCCAGCAGAAAGACGATGATGGTGATGGGCCCTCCAGCGCACTGGAGTTGTCACGTAGTGGAGGTGGTGACGCTGCCAGGCCCCCAAGGTGGGTACCAAGGCTCACAAGACTGACCTCTTCTACCTACAACCTAAGACGTGCTCATTCTCTGGACTCCTTGGAGACTACAAAAGTGACTTCAGAAAAGGAAACAGCACAAGGAAACCCAACGCCAAAGGACAGTGAAGCTTCAGAGAGTGGAGATCCCTTAGACGAGGACGATGTGGGTGCAGTGGTGGAGGACCAGCCGAAGTTTGTGGAGTGGTGTGCTGAGGAGGAGAACCAAGAGCTTATCGCCAGCTTCAATGCCCACTACATGAAGGTCCAGAAGGGCTGGATCCAGCTGGAGAAGGAAGCCCAGCCAGCACCAAGGGCGAGGAACAGGTCGGATAAATTGAAGGAGATTTGGAAAAGCAAGAAAAGGTCACGGAAATGTAGGGGTTCATTGGAGGCGCAAAAGCTTTCTCCTGTTCAGATGCTGTTTATGACAAACTTTAAATTATCTAATGTTTGTAAATGGTTCTTAGAGACAACCGAAACGCGGTCTCTCGTAATCATCAAGAAGCTCAATACTCGGCTTCCAGGAGACATCCCCCCTGTGAAGCATCCTCTTCAGAAGTACTCTCCTACCAGCCTGTACCCCAGTTCACTACAGGCTGAACGCCTGAAAAAACACTTGAAGAAATTTCCTGGAGCTACTCCTGCTAGGAACAACTGGAAAACGCAGAAGCTCTGGGCTAAATTTCGAGAGAATCCTGACCAAGTGGAGCTGGAGGAAGGCAGCGATGTCAGCCTCGGCCCCAATTCTGAAGACAGCATAGAGGAAGTCAAGGAAGGTAGAAATAGCCATCCTCCCACCAACTCGCCTACTCCAGCCAGTACCCGGATCCTTAGAAAATATTCCAATATTCGAGGAAAGCTCAGAGCACAGCAACGCTTGATCAATAACGAGAAAATGGAAAGCCCGCTTGGCCTGGCTGTGGAAAGGAAACAGGGTTGTAAGAGCGTATGCATCAACCCTCTGATGTCCCCCAAGCTTGCCCTGCAAGTGGATGCCGATGGGTTTCCCATTAAGCCCAAGAGTACTGATGGCATGAAGCGAAGGAAGGGGAAGCCGACCTCTGAAATCTTGCCCAAAGCAGAAGTTCAGAATAAACGCAGGAGAACCGAAGGCGGCAGCACTCAGGACAGGAAGGACAAGGGATCTGCGATGAAAGCCAGTAAAGAAAAGCATATTGATGGATCCACCAAAACCCCTGCTGCCAAGAAGCCAGCTGCAAGGGACAGAGTCAGCCAGCTGCCCAGAAAGACATCTTTGAAAGAGAATAAAGTGAAGATCCCTAAAAAGTCTGCTGGGAAGAGCTGCCCTCCCTCCAGGAAAGAAAAAGAGAATACAAACAGAAGACCTGCCCAGCCCGCAGCCTCGGAAACAGTGAGGAAACCTGCAAAGCAAAAAGGGGCAGGTGGGTCCTCTTCCAGGCCACAGAAAGCCGCAAACAGGAAGCAGAGCAGCGGAAAGGCTCGGGCCAGACCCTTGACGAAAACCCCAGAGAACAGTGCAGCCCAGAGAAAGCGAAAGCTGAAGGCAAAGCTGGACTCTTCCCACAGCAAACGGAGGCGGCTGGATGCAAAGTGATGGGAAGGGTTGTAGCCCCGAGGAAAGCTGTTCTGTAGAAGGAACCCTTTATTTTGCATTAATTAAATCTGCTTTTGTAAGCTTTTCAAGCCTTTCAAATCTGCAGTTCATGGAGAACACCACAATCTAAGATGTCAGAAAAATGTGTCTCAGATGGAGATGGGGAACTTGCCGAGTCTTTCTCTGAGGCTGAGTAAGGGAAGTTATATATTATATTCTGGTTGTTCCTTGGGTTTTAAACTTGGAACCAAGCAGTTTTAGTTTTTAAAAGTACAGTGCCTTATTTATCCTTTTTTGTTTTTTAAATTTACAAAAGCTAAAAAGCTGATCTATGCGATTAAAGGCTTGTATTTTATACTTGATGCACAAGCACTTGTACTGTAGTCAAGAAGACCACCACCATGCACATAACAGTAGCTTTCCAGCCGCATCCTGCAGTGTCTGTACATGAGCAGATGCTTTTCTTCGCAAACCCCAGCAGTCAACTTCCCTCTGTCTTGTTTGTTTGTTTAAATGGTATTTGAAAGCTAAACCAAATCATTTTTACGGTATGTGGAAAATGCAGAGGGGATTTATAATTATTGTAAAAGATTACTATTTCTGTTACCCCTTTTTCAAAAATCATATTCATTGTTGGTCATTCCTCTTACCTTTGATCTTTTGTCATTTGGGGGAAAAAAAAAGATTTTAAATTATGTGCCCAAGGGACAACAGCTATGTCACCAGGTGTCAATAATTGGTTTATGACCTCTAAAAATTCTTGGCATTATCGATTCTTATCATCCTTTTCATTTTTGGCCTTGTAAGCTTGCTAGCACTCTAACAAGGCTTTCATCCTACTTTGGGGGGAAAAATCTAGGATTTTTTTTTTCTCTCCAAGATCTTGTAGCTGTAATTTGACAATTAGGACAAAAGTAACTATTCTTATTTTCTTTCTTACCCTAAGTACTTTCATATTCAAAGAAAGCCAAAATGTTATTTCCAGAAGTAGAAAAGTTTAAGAGTGTGTGTGTGCATGTGCATTTGGGGGGCATTTGCCTATGGCCATCAGCCACAAATGGCTCCCACCCCCAGTTCTACAGTAAAATTCTTTCTTCCCCATGCAATGTGCTAGGGGCTTCATGAGCTGGGTAATCAGTACAGGCCAGATGGCTTCAATGTGGCCCATGTTCTCCATGAGCATCCTGCAAACTACTTTGGCATCAGACTCAGAAAGGTCAAAACAGCACCGAGTGATGTAAAGGTCACAGCGAGCTTGCAGTTGGAGGAAGCAGCTCTAACATCTCATAGTGGGCCCCCGTGCCCTACACTGGAGCTGATGTTCATGTGGATGTACATGTTGAGAGTGGGTGTCCATTCTGATTGGTTATCGCCATACAGTTCATGCTTGTATAATAGTGTCACTCCTGCCTCTGCCGTGTCAGGCTGTGTTCCATAGCCCAACAGTGAGAGCTGCAGTATTTGTAACTAATGATGTTTGCCTTTCCCGAGGGAAGCCGGAGATGGGTGCGTTGGCTTTACCTTGGTGCCTATAGCATTGCTCCATTATAACACAGTGTGCACTTGACATTTCCGTTGGGCCGCTCTTCAAAAAAGGCTCGGCTATTAAAGCCTCAACCACCTTCTCTGACGTGCTCTGTTATCACATTAAGCTTATATGGACAGCTGCCTCTATGTCCTTTCTATTAAAAATGATTCCATGTAGATTGTTTCAGATCAGTTTTAGACAAACCCAGGTGGACGTTTTTTCATGCATTATTAGTTCATTTACATCATGATAAGACAGGCCTTCTACCCATTCTGTTATAAGGTTTGCTGTTTATGTACAATGAAAACTTCTGATGATTGGAGAAAAGCATTTGATTCACGGGACATTCAGAACTGTGTTGAATTTCATAGACAGTAAAGCTTACTATCTTCAGTGACGCTGATTTTTTTTTTCCTAACATCTCTCCTCTATCCTACGAGTCTCTTTTTTTTCTTTTTAATATCTTTGTGCCCATTCAGGAGCTACCTATCTTAATGAAACTGCTGAGTGTGTGTGTTGGCAGCCCTCTCTCAGCATTAAGTTGCACAGAAGCATTAATATGTGTTGAGTAGGTTCATTTAATCTTTAAAAAGTGGTTTTAAGGTTTAAAGCAATCTTTTCGTATAGTTGTCACTGGATATGGTTTTTGTGGTGACTTAGACAGCTGAGGTTTGCTGATGTCAGGTGTGCTGACTCCTGTACATACGTTCAAGGTGCCCCCTTAGCTGCATATAGACTACCTTGGGAAGGGTGCTTGCCTTGGGTTACGGAGAAGTGTGAGGAAGTACATGGGTGAAACTTTTCCAGTTCCAGGTTTATCATTCATTCCATTACTTTTCTAAGTTCTTTTTCATTTGTAAAAGCTTGTGGCAAGATAATAGCCTTCTCTCCCATTCTAGAAAGTATTTAAGAAAAGTTAACAATGTGTGTGCATTTATTTTATATACCTAACAATGCAATGGATCATCTTTAAAATCAACTGATACTTTATAGTAGTGACAACATTTAAATAGACTGGGATTCTACATAATTAAGAAATTAAAAGTTTAGACTTATTTTTGTATTTGTTGAGTCCCATGTTTGCTGATTCAGTTAGTTTTGCTAATAGAAAAAAACACTGAGGGCCCCACTCTGGAAAGCCCTTTTACACTTCTAACAGATGTTGTTACCCAGATACCGCCAAGCCCAGGCCTGGTATTGGCTCACGTCTGCCCTTGTTTTCCCTCCCTTGCAAAGACCTCCTTCCTGTAGCCATCTTCACAGTATGGCTTGCCACCGGATGCAAAGGCAGTCTGTCCCACATCCTGGACTCTAACTCAGCAAGGAACTCTGCTTTGGGGCCCATGCTCGGTGAAGTGACCGTCCCAATGTTGGAACTGACGTTGAGGACCAGAGAGCACTGGTATTACCTCTGAGCTGCAGTTGCTGGAAGATGCCTGGGGAGCAGCCACTGAAGCTCCACGAGGGCTCCCCAGAGCTGGGCCCTCTTCAAGAGACCCATTTTCTATCGCACAAGGCTCCCTGGGTTTGGGAGGACAGCTTGGAGACTGCTCCCAGTCAGCCCAGAGCCTCACCCCGGCACCTCCTCAGACATGTAGCAGTCTTGCTTTGTGCTGCTCTTGAGGCTTCCTGGATAGGAATGTTACCAGCGTCTGTCTGTGAATCTGCCGTTGCTAGTCCCTTGGGCCCCTTAGGTCGGCCAGTTCGTTATGTCTGTGTTTCATTAAGGACTTCCACACAAGCCTTTTCTAACATAATGTTAGGCTGTGGATTTCATGCCTTGTTGTTCCTGTAGTAGTATGGACAGAAGAGGGGCAGTTAGTCATCCCTTCACATATGTGGTGCTTCTGATGGGATCCTCACGCATCACGTAGTGCCCAGGTGAATTACCCACTGTTTAGATACGTCATCAGGGAGACTTTCAGGCAGTTACTTTGAATTACAATTTGGTCTCTTTCCTGCCTTGTGATGAATTCTGTGGTGAGGGCAGAAGCTGTCACTTATTTATGGGCAGCATTTCTGTTGATCAGTGGACCTAAGAGCCAAGTAAGAAAGGACAACATGCTATGTGATGCAAGCTGGAGAGGCTGTAGTGTCACCATCAATGAGTCTGGTGTCTTGTCATCGTACCTGGGACTAGGCTGGAATTTCCCGAAGTGCAGGCCCAGGGAGCTACACCCAGTCCTCTTGGTTTTAGATCAACCTGTGCAGGCTCTTTTTGGGCTCCAAAATGATCTATCAAGAGTCTGCAGGCTGTGGGCTGGTCACTGTTTTATAAATAAAAGTTTGTTGGAACAAAGTTACGTCCATTTGTTTATGGATTGTTTGTGGCTGCTTTTCAGCAGAGTTGAGTAGCTGCAACAGAGACTGTATGGTCCACAAAGCCTAAAGCATTTACTGTCTGGACCTTGAAGAAAAAGTTTGCTGACCCTTGCTTGCGAAAATCATCCTTTTTCAGGGACAAAAATCTTCCCTGAGGTATCTTCTTTCTTCTGCCTCTTTTTCTCTTTCTCCTTTCTTCTCCTTCCTCTTTATCTTACCTCAGTTTTGTTCTTCTTTTATATTTCTTTATTTCTCCTTGCTACAACAGAGACATATTACTACAGCACATCAAATACTGTCTCCTAAAACTTGAGCTACCTTAGCTTCACATCTTCCTTCTTAAGAGTCACCCATCACAGTAGCCACATAAGGCCCGCTGTAGCAATACAGTCAGAACCTGTGAGCAAACAAGAATTCAGAGTTCCAGAATGATGTGCCTGCACCTCTCATTTCATTGTTTTCATCATAGACCTGACTCCAGCTTCACGTCTTGTTTATTTCTAAAAGAAGCCAAGATTTGGGTTTGTGTTTTTTTTTTTCCAAAATTAGTTGAGACTACTTTAGTTGGATGTTTCTGAACCTCACTTTTAGATACAGAAAAAGTCTTCAGAGGGGAAACAAAAGTCCAATCACAAACCCAAAACATTGTTTATTATGTAATAGTTTGGCCAGCTCCTTGGAAAATAAAATGCTGTTGGCACTGTTATTTTCTAAGTTCCATACTCTTCTTTCAAAATAATTTTATGAAAGGCAAGCCAACAAAACATTGGGCCTTGAAGTGCTTTCGAAAAGAATAATAGAAAACTGAAACCTATTGTAATCTCACCATGACTGAGAAGTTATGGTTTATATCTTTAGATCAAATCCAGTCAACTTCAAGTTGTGAAGTCTTCTTCCTCCCCCAAAAGTTAAGGAGTTTCTATGCTGTTTTTCAAAATGAAATTGAATGTCATGTTCAGTGACATTCAAGCTTTTTGTCAGTGGCCCCAAAACAGTGACTGTTTCCATTGTTTTGAAACGGATAATTATCATTTTGAATTCTTAGCTATAAATTTTTGTCTTCTTATGGCTTGCTACCCACTAAAATACTGACAGTTTATAAGTATGAAATCCTGTGTGTGTATATTAGCAAGGCAGTCCACACATCCCAGCAGTACGTGCTCTGCTCTATGCTTGCTCCCAAACTGTCTTCCAGGAAAAAAAGAAAAGAAAAAGATTAATGGTATTTAAAGCATGCCGAATTATGGGAAGCCTTTGATGCAGCCTTCAATATAATTCATCCCTTAAAACCCCAGAACAAACTGCTGTATTCCACAGTGGGTGGATTGAAGGACTGGAAGGTCTACCCTCTTTAAAATAAATCCTACTCAGGCTGAAACCCAGAGCTCTCTGATGCCACTCCCAGCTCAGGGCTTCGTCGTGCTGTGCAGGGGACCTAGGGAACCACCTTGGGCACTTGGCGGAGGGTATCCCGGCTCATGCTTTTGCCCTTGGAATTGAGACAAAGCTGGCCAGTTGCTTCCCTGACCGCCCTCTGAGCTTCCTCTTCTCAGAGCTGGTGGCTGCTGCTCAGTGCTCAGGAGCCATCTTTTGCCCCATCCTTCAGCGGGGCTGCTGTGCAGTTACGCTCACCTGGTGAACACAGTGACACAGGCTTTCTCGAAAACCTGCCTGGGACCATTCCAATTAATGCAAGGTCCTTACAGACAAGCCACATGAAAGTATAGACTGCCTCTCCCTCCCCGCCACCAAAAAAAATCAAACCAGGTGCTCGTGGTTTTCATAATATGCCAGAGGTTGAAGGAATGCATTTTACCATTTTTTCAAAGGGTTATATTAAAAAGTAACAGATATGTGGCCCACACAGCCTAAAATATAAAATATTTACTACCTGGCCCTTTATAAAAAAAGTTTACAGACCCTTGCAATATGTCATTCAAAATCAAATTGTGTGGACAGTTGGGCACAAACATTTTTTATGTCCAGCATTGCAACATCTCTTTCCTTTTCGATTTTAGGGTATCTTGTGTGTTCATCTCAGCACACAACTGCTGTTGCACGTTATCCCTAAGTAATGCTTGTGCGTTAAAGAACAAGCAAATATTCCCTTCTGTGTTAATTGAATATTCATTGAAATGCAATCTTATCTACTAAGAAGTTAGAAGTCAAAGTACAAAGTCCTTTAAACTGAAAATAGTAGTCTTCAGCATGTTGATGAATCAGGGTGAACTTGACCCCTGGAGAAGCATTCCTCTATGGCAGTGCTGAACACAGAATTACTAATGAACTTCGGGCCTAGAATAGTGCCTCTCCTGGCCAGACACGGCAAGTTAGCCCCACCCGCTGGGGCCCCTCTTTTCTTTCTCAGATGCAGCCTATTTGCAAATTTCTCACTCCCCAAGCTTTGGTCAGTGAACATAAATGGCTGGCTGATCTTTGCCTGTTGGAACCTCAAATCTACCCCTTCTCAGCTCTTAAAAACACCAGCATGTCCATGGCACCTTGTCAGCGCACCATCAGCTTTAGACAAGTTCAGAGCGCTCTGGCTTGGCCAGTGAAGCCCCCATCTGGTCGGGCGTGACTCACCTCATTTTGAGGAGCCACCTCCCCACGTTTGCCTCTTCCGCTTATGCCACCAGCCCCCTTCTGGGAGGCATCTTCCCTGGGAAGTCTCCCACCTTGCAAGTGCTTTACTGAACACATAAGATGTCGTATTAGAAACATTTTCCTTCTAATATTTAGACATTGGGTCCAAAAGCTATTCAATTTATTAATGTTTCCACCCCCACTGTTTTCGATAATCTACACCTCTTGTCTTGTAGCTGAAGCTATAGTATTTGGGAGCTAATTTGTGGGGAAAAAATGCTATACTTAACATCTGCATAATTTTGTATATGCCACAGGTAGAGATTAGTTCTAGAGCCACTCTAGTTTAAGATTATTCGTTTCACCAGTGATTTCTGCATTACTAATAGTTCTAGGAGACTGTGTTAGTAACTGGTTTCAAACACACATATATATAATTCATATTTATACACACCACTGTGAAATTTATTTCACTAAATACTGTTTTTCTGTTTAAATGCTTCTATAAAAAGTATTTATTTTAACAAAAAAAAATTATCAAAAGGGCTTTCCAAAAAAGTGTTCTAGCAACCCATCCTCCCCAGCTATCATGCTCAGCCATTGAACCCCGAAACAACACAGTGAAGGCAGAAGGGTGGGGCCTTGAAACTTGCACTGTTCTGGGGCAGATACAGCATGGATTGGGAACCTAGGCGCATTGCCCCACTGTCGCCCCATCCCGGAACAAAATGGGTCTCCCACTGTCGGTGTGGCATATGCCAGGCATGCCTCAAGCAGCCCACTGTTTGCACACACAGTTGGTACATTCACCTGTGCACTTCAGCAGCCTGTGCAGGGACGTGAGCCTTAGTTGTAACCCCAAGGAAACCCAAGCCCATACTTGTGGGATTATGGAGAAACCACTGGTTGCCTCAAGAAAGCATTAAGTTGTATCTTAGTCTTTCTCGTGTTTGTAAAAGACCTGTTCCCACCTCTCATTAAGCATGGGAACTGCGCGTAAGCATGTTTCCTTTCACACCTTGACAGTACTCATGAGCACCTCACTCCCCTCCTCCACCTCCTCCTCCTCGTCTCAGCAACACCTGAGCAGATGTGGGCCAGCCCTACCTGTAACCAGTGGTTACAGGACAGGGACCCTCTGTTCTAAGATGTGTGCAGCTTTACTTCTCAGGAGTCCTGGTCTGCAATTCAGAACACCCCTGTATGTAATGGAGTCGATGCTTTCCGATCGTGTTCCTCTCCCCTGTGCCTCATGCCTGGGCACCCCTGTCTGAGTCGTGAGTCTCATGCTGCCGGGTTGGCTGGACTGAGGACTGTAGCCCCAGGACTGCAGAGAGCTTGGGACCGGACACACGGGGATTTTTGTCATCCATTTGAATCATGCCTTGCATATTTACTTCTGGCTTCTCTTTGTCTTTTCTAAAGAAATGAGGACACTTGAACAGCAATGCTGGAGAATGTTTTTTCTAAGATACTATTTGTAAGCAAATCTGATTTTAAGATGAAATGTGAATGGGTAACCAGGTGCCAGGGAATTTAGCACTGAACTAGACAGTCAAAACTTTTTTAACCTTTGCAGAAAGAAAGAAATTTTGCTCACATCTAAATGTTCACAAGAAGTAATGTTGTAAATAGTTTTTTAAAAATATTTATTATATGTGCTGTACGCAGATTCATGTGCTGAGTGATGTTGGTTTGCATTGTAGTATTGTAGAAGATTATATTTTGAGCAGTGGACTTCTTTTCATAACACACATGGAGAAAGAACAAAAACCAGCAGGTTGAGAGCTGTTTGGGGCATTCGATCTGTAATGTTACATCAAATCCAAGCTTTAATTGCCCCCTCTTCTCATCTGGTTATGTTATATATTATATATATAGTATATGTGCGTGTGTATGATAAACTGGTCCATGGTCAATCCCCAGATCTGCAGAGCAGATTTCCAGGTGTTCTTTCTGATGTGTTGCCCATAAGCAATAAGATCCTAGGTAAAAACAATTATTCCGGGCCCCGCGCGGGCCCTTTGTCTCAGAGGATAGGGTGGGGGTAGAACAGCTCTTGCTAAGACCTCTTGCCTTTGCCAGAGAGGTTGCTGTACTTGAATTTTTGCTTCTGTTTGTCTGCACGCTCCGTCCAGTCATACAAATTGAGCAATGGATGTGAAAACTGCCAGCACCAGGCACATCAAAACTTGGGCATAGAGATTGAAAAATTGTCAAGTTTCTATGAATTTGTAGGGCTTCCAGAATCTAGCTGAGGAAAGCTCACTTCACTGTAGAGTACATGGAAGAACGTTTTACGTTGGAAATCCCAATGACCAATTGAAAAGTCCTTTGACTAGATCTGACCTACCTTTAAACGCTAGCCCATTTCCTGGAATCCGCCTCTGTACCTGGGTTTAAAATCTCTGAAGCCCCCTTCGTGTCCGGGGCTGAACCATTGAGGTCAGTGCAAAGAGTGCAGTCACTCCAAGTCACCCAGCGTGTCCAGTTCAACAGGTTTCTAAGCTGTTTAGCAGCCTCTCCTTGTGCCCGTCCTAAACTTTACGAAAACTACCCCACACCCAAATAACCATTAATAGAACAATGTAGTTTTTTAGGCTTTTGGAATATGTCTTCTCTTTTGTATTTATGATGGTGTTTGGAAATTTTCACTAGTGTTTTTTTAGATTGAAGTGGGTGCATTAGGGTAAAACTTTCCGTTGCTGAGCCTGAAAGCAAGCAAGAGGAAAGAAACTGACCTATGTTGTATCATTGGGAAGGTGACTACTTGTGGTGGGAGGGCGGGGAGGGGGCATTTGTAGATTATATGGGGGTAAAAATAGAAATTCTGGCCTGAGGCGCCCCAAGTCTTATTACCTTATAATAAATAACCCCTTTATTAGCCTCACTTGATAGAAGCCTGCTGTTTACCCTCAGGGAACAAGTAGTTTTCAAAATCGAGCTCCTCCAAGGTCATTGGCCAGTGCCTGTGTGTAGGCATTGGTTGTCTTTGTGAACTCATGGCATTATTTTCCCAGATGCGTTATGATATTAAGAAATTCAACCCCCACCTGTATGAAAAGCACAGCCCAGGGTCCTCCTTTAGGCCAGAGTTCATGCCTTTGGGGCACCCAGGGGTCCTAGGAGGCCCATGCAATTTAACTGAAGCTCAGGTGCCGTGTTGGGTTTTTATTCTTTTTAGGCCACGACCCTTCAGAATGAGTTTGGGGCAAGGGCTGCTGATCTGGCTGTGGATCCAGGGAGCTCTAAGACGAATCTCTACCGTTCCTATAAAGGTCTTTCTGGTTCCTCCCAGTGTGTCATAGCCAAGGTCAATCTCGTAGTTGTTCAGGTGTGCTCCTTTTTGCCGTCTTGTGAGTCTTAGCCAGTGATCCAGGTGCCCAAGGAGAGTGTCTCGAGAGGGCCTAGCCCCCTTCCTGGCACCAAGTGTGTGCCCCCGACCTGTGCAAAGGCGGTCTTTCCAAAAGCAGCGAAATGAGAAATTCTGCAAATGATTATCGGATGAACAGCGTGTAATCTCTTGGGCCTGGATTTCCGCCATGTTAGTGCGTGTAGGAAAATACTGTGTCGTTAATGGATGAAAATGTAATGTATGCTGTGAATTTGTTGGTTTGAAACATTGAAAATTTTTCATTAGACAATGTTTACATACCTCACCTGAAGAACCTTTGAGAGTGTATATATGAAATTTAAAAATATATTAAGTTGCTTTAAAAACAATATGTACAGCTATAAAAGTTGGAGTTATTTTAACTTTGAATATGTACCGAGTCTCTTACATATTGAAATCTTGTGGACTTTTTTGTGCTTCTGTGTTTTACTTTCCTATTAGACCATGTAGGAAACTGTGTTCTTGTTCTTGGGGAAGGGGCCTCACTGAAATCCAAGCTTGAAGGATTTCCTTTGTTGTTTCAGATTTTCTTGTTTGGTTTTGAGGGATGGGGTATGGAGCTAGAGGATGTGTGGGAGGGATTTCTCTAACATTGACATCTATTCCATGAGCTTTTTCTAGGCGCTTATTTTATTGCAGCGTATTAAACTTCTTTGATATGAAAGTGTGTTTGTGTAGTCACTGGAGAGGGGGCTGATTGCATCAAAGCCCAGCATTCAACTCAGAGCCTACAGCAAAATTGATAAGTTGCCAGAAGGAACCAAAAAGCAATGCTTGCTAATACTCCTGCCTCAGCCCTGGTATCAGGACTTAAAGGAACACTGTTTGCTGGACCAGTGGCCATTTTGTGAGTTACACCTGAACTTCAGGGAAAAGAACACAGTGGGTGAATCCTTGGGAATTCCCATGGCAGAATTGTACAGGTGCCTATGCATCATCCTGAGGGCCAGGGAGCAATTGAATTCTTCACGCTCCTGACCTCAGGTGAGCCACTGTTCAGTAAGGGGGTGGTATGCACAGCCACCAGGGAGGGTGGCCCGGCTCTCTGCAGCCCATGTCGGGGTGTAGCTGGAAGGTAACAGGCAATCCTTCCCATTACTCACCTCCTGACTGGTTTCATTATAGTCTCTTTTTTTAAGCTGAGCCATCCTGCCATCTGTTGGCAGCTCAGCGGCATCTCAGCTCGGGCTGGGAATCAAACCGGCGACCCTGTTGCTCAGAGCTCGCACTCTTCGAGCTCATAACCAACTGAGCCACTCAGCCAGCCCTTCATTACATTCTTTCAACTCTTCTTGAGATGGCTCTATTGAGGGACCCATAGGGGACTGTAGAATCAGCAGTGATTTCATGAACAACTTTATCTGACAGTGGCCATCGACATGGCAGAACTATTGGGTTGTCGGAAAAGTCATGACGCATTTTTGCAATGAAAAACAGAAAAAATATGTCATGACTTTTTCGACAACCCAATGCACCCGATGAAAATGACCCCGCAGCTGGCAGTCAGGCCATCCCTTCTCAATTTGAATTTGGAGAATTATCTTGTTCCGGATGAGGACTTTTCGTAGTTAAACTTCTCCAATATTCATCCTGTGGTAGAATAACTAGAATATGACCTGAGAGGTTCGGACTGGCTTGGGGTAAGGGATCACCTCTAAAATTAACCCTAAGGGCTTGGGGTGTAGGGATGATAGAGATGCCTCATCACCAACCTCAGGAGAACTTGGCAACTCATCGGAAACCTGGCCATTCCTTTTACTGCCTCCGTCCCCCTAACCAAGCCCTGCAGTGCCCGTTACCTTGGCTGGAGATTTACTTTTAACTGAAAGAAATTTGCCACTTTTTACTTTAATTCAGATGTTGCAAACCAGTGGCTCACAGATGTGTTTTATTTTTAACCCCTTGTTTGTGTTTTTTAAAGGTATTTAAAAACTGATGTTTACATAAAGATTGATTTCTGGTTTCTCTTTAAAAAAAAAAAAGTAATGGCGATCTGACTAAATCTGTGCATAGTAAGAATCGGCAGGAGCTCAGTAGATTGGAAAATGTGCCCTTCAGGTCACCAATCACCACTGTCCCTGACAGTTGCCAGTTGTTCCCCATTTCTGTTTTACAGTAAGGAAATAGGTCTCTACCTTCTGCTTTGTCTACAGATGACGGACCAGAAGGGCATGTGCCCTCTTAGGCAGCCTACTGGGCACTCCAGACACTTGAGTTTACAACTGTTTTCACCCATTTTCTCTCATGTACCAGCTTCATTAAATTTCCTCCAAAATCCCTGCTTGCTTTAAGAGCACTGCAGTTACTATCATGACCCACTTTCAAGGTGACCGTGTAAGTTGAGGTGTGGCTTCTGCCACTATCACCCCCACCCCGTCTTCTAGTGGGAAGTCAGTCTATGGTCCTGGCATCAGAGGAAGGCCAGCCGGGTCCCGTTAGTGTCAGGGGCCTTGCCCAGCCTGACTGCCAGGGCCTGGCTTCCCTTAACTGCTCATCCTGCTAAACGCCTGTGTGCAATTTAGTATGTCTGAAGTCGTAGCAGAACCCCCTCGGAAGACTGTTTGCCTGCCTTCTCCACTAATCCCCAAGAACCACTGCCCAGGCGACAGGCACGTTAACCTTATAAGACAGTCTGAGAAGCCACATGGCTTTCGAATCTGTTGCCCTGATGCTCTGAACCTTCAGAGCCGGGTTAAACATGGGTGCGGCTCTGTACACAGACTTACAAATGTGGGTGTAACTGCAGGCGCTTGAAGGAAAAGGAGACGAGCAGCCTCCCGGATCTCCGTGTGTGCTGTGCAGTGCTAGGCTCTGCCCTCACTGACATTCCCAGGGAGCTGTAACCCAGCCATCCCCCACAACTCCCCTTCCCTCTGCAGGAGGAACGGACCGCCTTTGCCACTTGGGGAGGACCAGAGAGCTCCAAGGGCAGACGGCCTCCACGTGCTGCACCTGGGAGGCATCCCTCAATTGCGGCTGGTGTGGGGACAGCCCAGAAACTCTCGAACCGGAGAGGGTGCGTGTCGGTGGCCCTGGCTCACCATCAGTGAGAAAAAAGAGAACAACAAGGCAGAGCCTGAGTGAATCAATGTCATGTTCACATGGAAGACAGACAATATCCAACCTGTTCTAAAACAACACTTCTAGGCAAAGGGCAAGCGGGGCTCTCTCACGGGCCTGTTCCAAACCAGCCTCTCTAACGAGTGACCCAAACAAGGCTACAGAAACCCCCAAACAGAGTGTCACAACCACAGAGCATCTGAAAATCAAACGAGACACTGGATGTGGACTTTAACATATAAAAATACTATAACAAAATGAAATACAAATATATATTAGAATCTGTTAAGTATTCTGTATAAAGAGATACTTTCGTGGTTAGGCTAACAGCAGGCAAAGAAGAGACAAAGTCCAGCGTTTTCCATTTCCTGACACCTTCACAGGGGGCCCGGGCCGCTGTCGCCTGCAGTGCTGCCGCAACAGCAGCAACCTCAGGACTCGCCTGCTTGTGTCTCTTTCAGTGCGTGTTTAATGGAAACCGCCAATGGCAACGTCAACGTGAACTGAAGGTCTTCACCTAAGGGGTGGCAAGGTGTGGAGATGACTTGACAGACAGATGATTTCATGGTAGCCTTCTGGGACTCCGCAGCCCCAAACGTGAACAGGCAAGGTGAGTGGTGATCCAGGTCTTCAGCAACTTGCAGGCTGGTGGCTAAGTTGAGGGAAGGTTGGTCCTGGGGCACATGACTCTCTCGGCCCCTTGATGCCCTCCACACCCTTGTGGCTCCCAATTTTCTGGCTTGACTGAGGGTGGGTGTGAAGCTGGGCGGGGACATGAGGCATTGTGGCGGGACAAGCGGGGCCAGTGGCAAGCTCTTGTGCTCCCTGTGAGCACTCCATCCTCTGCCTTCCCCACCCGATGGCCCTGGGGCCGCAGGACTCCTGGCCACCATCACCTGTCTGCAGGTGCCCTTGCCACTTCCTGTGAAGTAAAGAGGCCACTGCCAGTCAGGGCCCCTCACGCCCAGGGAGCTGCTGCTCCAGGGCAGGGGGGATGGGGGTGGCCAGGGAAAGGTACATTTCTCAGGGTTGGTGGGTCCCAGAACACCTCTCTTCCATGGAACGGACAAACTACCTGCACTTGAGCTTTCCTGTCTGTCCAGCCTGGTGCTAGCTTTTCTCCAGGGTCCCTCAGTGGCCCAGAAACTCCAGGTAAGAGAGGGAGGCTGTCCAGCGGGCAGGGGTGCTGTGGCCTTGCTCAGAGTTACAAGAAACTAGAGCCCAGAACCTAGTGAGGGGAAGACCCAGCCACAAGAGCACCTCCTCAACTGGGCAAGGCGGGGTCCTCTTCCCATGACATGGTCCAGGACTCACACTCGCTGGCCTGAGTCCCAGCATAGTGGAAGTCGCAGAAGGCTCCAGCCCTTGACTACTCGGTAGCAAGGGTTCCCCTCACTGACACGGTGGCTGAGAACACAAGTACGATGCCACCCCAACCCCACCCCGGACACTCCTCCAACCCTGCCTTCTGTTTGCAGATGGAAGGAGCCAGGAAAGGGGTGTGTTCACCTCCCTCACCCACTGGGATCCCCAGGGGCATGCTCTTGGGAAGACATCTGGGACAGGAGAGTGTGACCTTTTTTACAGCCAGCTCGCTATTTAGGATCAAAGATAAATCTTTCCACTTTTTGATTCTGCATGGAAGAGAAGCATCCGTAGCTACGTGGTCATGTATTCAGTGACTTTCCAAACACTGAGTCCTTCCTTGCAAACACCTAGGGTCAGCAGCTCCAGCCCGGTCAGCGTCTGTGGTTGGAGCCCTCACTTGACTCAACTCTCATCCCGGGCACCCAGGTCGCTCCTGTGATGTGCTGTGACTAGTTGGCATCTGTCCACGAGAACATAACATCCACAGTACCCAGCCCCAGTCAGGCACATACATACTTGTTGATGTGATTAACGACAATGGATCTTGTAACTCCTGGGACCTCCCTCCTGGAGCCACAGTGAGGGTCTCCATTGCTTCTGTCATCCCACCTCCCCATTGGATAGCCGAGGAGGCCAAGGCCCACAGGGAAGAAGTTTGCCCAGAGTGGCAGAGCCAGCAGGTTTTCTGATGCCTGGACCACTGCTCCCTACCTGTCTGCAGTGTGAGGGGAGCTGAACCCCATCCCCTGCAGAAGGGATCCCTCCCTGGCCAAGCCTAGCCCAAGCCCTCCACACCTTGTCCCTCTGCCAATGGCTTACCAGCCACTGGTGGCTGGGGAAACCCAGGACCAATGCCCATTCGTTAGCTAGTGTTTAGAAGTGATGATGTTTATTCACTTAGAACCAAGAATGCCCCTGTCATCTTTGGTGGGGTCCCCCCACTCCAAGCAGTCCCAGTGACCATTTCCTCCACATGAGCTCCCTCCTTGAAATTACAATGATCCCATAACTTTAGGATTCAGAGGTCTGGTCCTAAGACCCACCTCCATCCCCAGCATTGTTCCTGAGGGAGCAGTGGCTGTTCGGCCAATTAGCCCAAGGACAAGGGTCAGTCCCTTCCTGGCCAGCAGGAGGGGGCCCTTCCCCTCTGCAGCCTGGCCTACTGCCTGAAGATGCTGTACAGCAGAAGGAGCTGAGAGCCAGGCTGGCTGCCCCAGGGGACGCTGAGAGTCCTTCCGGGTTATCTGCAGGGGGCAAGGGGCTCTGGCCCCAGTGTGGGCCTCAGACAAGAGGGAAAGGCTGGTTTGGGAAGGGGCCAGTCCCTTCTTCAGACCCAGGTAGCAGGCAAGGAGGGAGTGTGTCACCATGCTGCACTTCTTGGCCTGACCTCACGCACACATTCATTCAACAAATATTTATTAAGCGCCTACTTGTGCAAGGCACTTCAGGAGAGGTCGGTCTGCAGCCAGGCCTCGCCCACCTGCTCAGCCCCCAGCTGCGAGCAGTTGACTCAAGAAAGGCTGCCCAGCTCCTGGGAGGTCGGCCCCGGCCCACCCGAGAGGGTCCAGCCACTCAGGAGCCATCCTGATGACGGCTCGACCCCCAGCCCAGGTCTCCCGGTGGCCGTGCCCCCACCGGCCCACCCCCGCCCCGCTGGCCAGTGCCGGGTGCTAGGCGCAGAGGGCACAGCCGCACTTGGTGGGCTTCTCCACCTCCTCCGCAAAGGAGGTTCCGTCGCTGCACTCAAAGGCGAGCTTCCTCCGCTTCAGCCGCAGGCCCTGGCAGCAGCCCTGGCCTGGGCACGAGCCCCGGCACTCCACCCACGACAGTGGGCGCGTGGTCTGGCAGATGGCATAGCCCCTCTGGACCTGGTGAAAGTCCCGGACAGGGTCCCCCCGGCACTCGGACTCTGGATGGGACAGACACCAAGAGAAAGCCTCAGGGTACACCCGTGGGCCGGCGCTGCCCCGGGGAGGCAGGAGGGGGAGGAGTGGGGAGAGGAGGCGGGCAGCATCCTTGGCCGGGTCCTCCAGCTCTCAGACCCCTCTTTGTCCCAGGGTCCTCCCTGCCCAGCATGCACATGCACACGCTTCCTCCTGGGCCCACGGTACGGTCAGTGGGAAGGAAGAACTTTCTAGCTGCCAACGCCCTCCAGGACAAGGCGGGCTCCCCGGGGCTAGAGGAGTGCAAGACGACGCTGGAGGCCTGGGAGGCGATAATGTTAGAGGAGGAGTCTGCGCTGCGGGGTGTGGCCTAGGAGACCCTAAGGTGCCTGACTTCCAGATTTCTCAAGACTTCGCCTTGCCCGCTCAGCAGTCTCCATTCCAGCAGGAGCATCTTGGTTATTTGGACCAGGGAGGGCCTGGGAAGGAGTCCCCAGTCTTTAGACTTCCTGGTGTTCCCTGGCCCGGAGGCAATGGGGCCAAGATGCGGAGGTTTGAGCAGGAGCTGTTACCCAGATGATCTCTTCTATAAGGAGAGACCCCAGCCAACAGGGGCACTTCCCCCCATAAGGGGGCTGCAGGAAAAGCTAGGCTAGGGAGAAAGGGGGGGGGCCCTGTCTGGGGGTGGGACTCACTAAAGCCAGATAGCAGCCTAAGGTGCAGGTGCAGGGCAGGGGCACAGAGGGGTTGCTGAGGTTGGGAGGAAGAAAAAAACAAGTTGCTAAAGCCAATTGTGGGGAGGGACCCTGGAGAGGGCATGTCAGGAGGGGGTTCCCTGACCTTGCTCACAAAGCTCGCCCGAAAAGCCAGGATCACACACACAGTGTGCCCCCTTGGTGGCCAAGGCCTGGCAGTGGCCATGCAGGCACTGCAGGCCCACACACGGGTCTGCGGGTGCCCCAGCCTGGTTGCACAGGGCCCCCGAGTACCCATCCTGGCACTGGCAGCTGTAGGAAAGAGCATCGAGGGGCACACATTTCCCGTGGACACACCTGGAGGGGACAGAGAAGAAGCACTATGAGCATAGGCCAGAGCCAATTCAAGGCCCACCCAAGGGTACCCCACGCCCCCAGCCTTGGTATCATGGGACATTATGCTGTTCCCAAGATTGAAAGTCAGGGAGCAAAATATGAGTCTGTTTGTACCGAGGGACCTTTCCTGTTAATAAAAACTAAAAGCCAAGAAAAAAATAATACAGCCCTGTGTTAGGCCACATATTCCAATTTGGGGTTTTAAAACTACAGTGTCTCTTTACCATAGGGAAGAGGAACTTGCCAAGAGGGAAAGGGAACCTGCAGGTGGGTAGAGGGTGAGGGCTCCCTAAGCCCAGCTCAGGCTCACTTGTGGCCATGGCAGGGGCCATCAGCTGGCTGGTCACAGTGCAGGCCCCCCCAGCCGGCCTCACAATGGCACACGGGCCCTGGGGTGGCGTTGGGTTGGCAGATGCCATGCAGGCAGTAGAGCTTCCGGCAGGGCTCGCAGCCTGGCACCACGCCTGGCTTCATCCTCGTCTTAGTGAAGTCCTGCAGTTCATTGTTGATGTACAGGTTTCGGATGCAACCGTGGAAGCTGGTGCCATTGAGGATCTGCCACAGGCGGAAGGCGGCCGAGTTCACATCCACTGGCATCCCTGGGGCATCGGGGAGGGGAGCAGAGCTGGACTGAATGAGGCTCAGACTCTGCCTGGCACCCACCTCTGAGGTCCTCTGGGGCATCTCCATAGAGTTCTCTCTTGACCTCAGCCTCTGTCCTTCTATCTCAGCAAACCCTGAGCCAAGGTCCACCACCACCTTAGAGGGCCCAGACTTCTTTCCCAGAAGAAATGGAAAAACTGCTTCCTCTGTGATCAGAGCCCAGGGTGCCAGGCCTGGGAGCAGCCAGCCGGTAAGTGAGGCTCTGGGTGCCTGAGTCTGGCTGCTCTCGCCCAGGGCTCCTTCCTTTCAGCTGGGACACCAGCTTTTATCTCCCAGAGACTCCAGAAGCAGCAAAGGACTGGGACCTAGAACTCAGGTGTATGGCACTCTGTCACCCACTTTTGTGGTCACCACTTCACAGCAACCCTCTGAAGCAGGAGTTGCTAAACCCCATCGGATGTTCAGTGCTCAATGACATGCCCAAAACTGCATAACCAGTAAATAAGCAGAGCTTGGATTAGGACCCAGGTTCTCCATCCCTCCCACCTGCCTGACATCTAGGTAAGGCCCTCCACAGCACTGAGACAGCCCCGCTGTATCTGGGAAACTGCCTCATCCAGACTTCGAAATGTCCACAGGTGGCGGACAGGGCTATTTAGCCGCAAAGTCTATAAGTCCAGCTGTGCAGTCCCCAGCTAATGCAGGGACTCCATGACTGGCCTCCTGCAGCGACTCTGGGCCACCCAGGACTCCAGGAATGGGAACGGACCCTGAACAATTGACAAGCCCCTTCTGGTCTAAAAACAAGAGGAAAGATGCCCACGGGGCAGAAGATAGCTGGGAAAATCCCAGTCCCCCCCCCCAACACCCACCCACACACACACACACACACCTCCTCAGGCCAAGCCTCAAGCCCAACTCAGGCACTCATCCTCCTTGGTTAGTCTGGGCTGGATGGACAACAGCCTGGCTCCAGGGAGGGGAGAACAATCCACCAGCATCTTGGCCATTGACTGGGAACCTCACCCACCACCTGAATGTCCCCCACAGTCCAGCGCCCTGAGCACCAGCTCTCCTGGCAAGCCTCAGGCCAGGGAGCAACAGATGCCCCACCTGGCATGGCTGTCACCATCACCTGATGGAAAGGCCTGGGGCAGGGCAGGTCCTCACCTCCCACATAGAGGGGGGCCTCACTGTTGAGTGTGTAGTGTTTGCCGAAGTTGTCCATGGTCATGGGACTGCCGCCATCGATGGAAAGATTCACCATCTGGTCAAAGGTGACCAGCTCGACAGTATGGAACTGCCCATCATTGATCGTCTCAGCACTGGAAGAAGACGGGGTACCCCCACACAGGGAATGGGCTTCAGTTTGGCCCATCCCTACCATCCCCTGAAAGGTCACTGGGCCAGCAGCTGATCCCCAAGGGACCATATCTCTTAGGGAGGGGACTGTGGGGACTCGATGGTCTACAGCCTAGTCCCTCTTGCTCTCCTTCTCGGGACCCCCTGGAGAAAGCTGAGAAGTTTGCGGCAGGGGTTTCCAACTTAATCAGTCTTCCCCTTCCCACTCAGGAGCCCCCTGTGAAGTAGTGGTGGGCTGCGAAGGATGGGACCACTGCTCAGGCCTCAAGAGAGCCTCAGACCTAAACTGGGCTGCACTCTGATTCAAATGCCCTTTCCACTCGGGCAGCCCAGGTTCTGGTTATCCCAGTAATGATCTGCTCTTGGCCCAGGAGACCCCTGAGAATGGCCGGTGGGCATGAGGAAGCCCTACCTGTAGATGGCGGAGCTGGGGTAGCTGCCTGGGTCGTAGCTGACACGTACATGGCCCTGGTACAGCTCCACTGCGATGTGGTCATTGTCCCCGTTGTACAGCAGGATCCCATTGTCCTCTGCCGTGGAGACCTAACAGGCAATGGAATTTTGTCTCCCACCCTTTTCCCACGCAGCGGCAGCACAGGCTGGAACAGATGGGGGACTCACGATTGGAAGAGATGCTGTGTGCAGAACTGTCCTCTACTGCCTGCCCAGGTTACATGCCTTCCAGGGTGTGCTGACAAAGGCTGTTTCTCGCCCCCACCTCCCACCCCCCATTCAAATCCTGTCCACTGGTAGTGTGGCCAGGGCTGGGCAGCGGAGGGCAGACGGGCTAGCTGAGGCCTGGAAACTATGCATCAGGAGGAGCAGTAAGAACCCTTCGAACCACCTGCCCAAAGAGGAAATTATCCTCAGCGAGCTGCCTTGGAGCCAGAGTGGGACCCACAGAGAGGACAAGTTCAGCAAGGCTTTCTAACAGCCAGTGCTACCAACACCTAGAATGAGCCACTCAGGAGGTAGGGCCTGTTGCTGGGCCCACAGAAGCAGCTGAAGTTGTGCCTTGAGCAGGAGATCCCTCTATGATGCTGTTGGAGCCATAATCTTTTTTTCCTGCCAATTCCTCTTCCTCCCTTTCTTCTGGTAAAGACCTTGTCCCTCTGGTCTGTAGAGCTGGCATATGGCCCAGGCGGGGCCAATCACAGCAGCCCATCTCCTTGGACTTGGTGGTTGGTCCAGGGATGGGCATGTGACTGAAGGCAGGCCAATCAGAGGTCTTCCCTAAGATTGTTAATTGTTGTCCAACTAGGGCTGGCAAGAAAGAGCCAGTGATAGGGATAGTGGGAAAAACTAAGCCCCTCTAAGGATGTTCCTGAGGCAATGTCTGGATAAGGTCTGGGTACATTTTGGGGAGGGGGGCGGGGAGGAGCAGTTAGGCTAGCTGTGGTCTTGCTATGTGGACCATGTAAATGGACAGGATTTGGGAGAGGTGACAAAGGGGAGAAGAGCAGAGTGAGCATGTTTGAGAGGTTGAAGTTTTCTGAAAAAAAGGAGAAGAGGGCAAAAGAAAAGAGAGAGAACAATGTGGCATTTGGGATAAGGAATGGAATTTGGGGAAAAGAGAGAGATGACCAAAGGGGTATTTTAAATATTTTATCATGTGCTGTGCAACATTATCTACTCTCTTCTTCCTCCCCAAGAAATATTTAGCAAAATCTCTATATTATCCATCAATGCCATTGAAGTGGGGCTGATTTTTTTCCCCTCAACATGATGCTCTAAGATGGAATTCTAGACATGAAAGCAAAGCAAGGGACGGCAGGGACTTTCAGTTAAAGATAGAAGCCCAGAGCTGCCCCTGGCCGTGCTCCAGCCACGTGGAGAAAGCCCGTCTGCAGCACTGGGAGGTGACGCTGAGGGGTGGTTGAGACAAGAGATGGTGGGAGAGGATCCTGGGAAGTTGGTTTTCTGGGTCCAGTCACCCCTGATACCACCCTTCTCTGAGACTTGTTCTGTGACCCAATAACCTTTCCAACTGTGCTTAAATTAGTTCAAGCTGAGATGCTGACACCCACATCCAGAGAGTTTTGACCCACACAAGGGCCTCCCCATTGTCCTGGGCAGGGATGCGTGTTGATGCTCTGGCCCAAGACCCGGGTCCCCCTGGTCTGACTCCCCTCTGTGACCAGAGCGCTGGGCACGCACCTGCAGTGTGATGTTGGCCCTCGGCCAATTCTGCAGGTCGGTGAATTGCAGGTAAGTGTCCCGATCCACGAAGTTGACACTGAGCAACTTCTCACACTCGGGGCCACCGAAGCCCGGAAGGCACTGGCACACGGGCCGGCTGCCCTGGTCCACACAGTTGGCCCCGTTCTGGCACTCAGTCCCCTCACAGGGGCTCCTGGGGGCGGGCGGGTGGGCAGGGGTCTCACAGAGCTGCCCACTGAGAGGGAAAGGACACAGGTCAGACAGGGCCGGTGAAGGGGCAAGGGCCATTTTCCTCCCCCCAGGTTCTGGAGAGAAAATCACTAAACCTCTTAGGAAACTGGATCCTTAAGGAGATAGAAGATGCTCCTAACGAATACTTTTCCCAAGAGAACGAAGAGCCAGAAGGACACCGAGAAACAACGTTAGAAACAAGTGTGGTCCCTGCACCAGCAGCAGCCATGTCGCTTGGGCACTTGTCAGAAATGGAAAACCTACTGAATCTGCTTTTTAACAAGGTGCCAGGTGACTCGAGTGCACATGAAAATTTAAGAATCACTCACTGCTCATGTCCCCTTTTATAGAAAAAAAAACTGAGTTTTACGACACAAGCAAAAGAGAGAAGACTCTAATTACTAAAGAAATTAAAGAGGGGACAGTACAACCAACGGGTAGTTCTGATACACAATAGTCTGCAATAGTCTGCAGCATTGGCATTCACGTGAGCCAAAGAGTAGAAACAACTCAAATGTCCATCAACTGATGAGTGGATAAACAAATGTGGATATCCATACACGGGCTATTGTTCAGCCAGAAAAAGGGAACGAAGTTCTGATACATGATACTGCATGGATGAACCTTGAAACCATGAGGCTAAGTGCAACCCAGTCAGAGAGGACCACAGATCGTATGCTTCTGTTTACATGATGTATCCAGAACAAGCAAATCTATAGACACAGATATTAGATCAGTGGTTGCCTAGGGCTGGGATAGAGGTGGGTTGGCGTGACAGATAAGAGGTGTGGAATTTCTTTCTGGAGTAATGACAATGTTCTAAAATTGATTGCAGTAATGAATGCACAACTCTGGGACTACATTAAAAACCATTAAATTGTACACTTTAACTGGGGGACTTGTATGGTATATGAATTATATCTCAATAAAACTGTAAAAAATAAAAAAAGACCCAAGCAGAGCATGGGAGGTGGGTGCCCTCCCCTCCCAACCTCCCCAAAGAGGCATGATACAAAGGTAAATAAATGGCCTTTATGGCAGGATGTGTCTTCAGAGGTTCCAGGGCAGGTAAGAGATGGGGCCCTACCCACAAATCTGTACCCACTTTCTACTCCCTCCACCAAACGGGTAATGGACCTTCTGCCTATGCTCTGAGTGGTTAAGAAACTTTCCCAAGGCCACACAGCTGTGACTGGCATAGCCATAGGTAAAACCCCAGGGCAGAACTCCCAGGCTATAACCCTTGCTCTTGCCCGCTAGTCATGCCTGGGGGCTCCTGCCAGCCCAGGGGCTAACAGCTAGGAGGAGTCAATCCCTCGAGGTACATGCAGGGCTGCTCACCTGTAGCCTTCAGCACAGAGGCAGGAGTAGCTGTTGACTTCATCCACGCACTGGGCCCCATTCTGGCAGCGGTGATCTCTGCAGTCATCCTGGTTCTCGCTGCAGTTGTTACCTGCATAACCTGGTGCACACTCACACCTGGGGATGGGCAGGGGGTGGTGGGCAGTCAGCCAGGAGCCCCTGGGGTCCAGAGGCTGTGTGTGACAGAGAATCTCACAGCCTTGTGGGTCTAAGAGGACCCCAGGAGGTCAAACAGAGCCCTGAATATAAAGATGCCACCAGCCTGTCCTGGGACCCTTTTCTAGGACAAGAAGAGAGTTTGTGTGAGCTTGAATGGGCTCTGGGCTGGGAGGGTAGACACGCAGTAGCAGGAGAATATGGGAATTTTTCAGGGAGGACCCAGTCTCACCACCGACAGCACATCCAGGGCCAAGCTTCAGCCCCTTCTTGACCTGCCCAACTGCTCTCCAGCACACAGCCCTGAGTCATGGGGTGCAGCCATCCGTCTTCCCCAGTCGTCCCAGCTCCACCAGCCCAGCCTCCTGGCCTCTGCAGGGCAAGTGCCTGCCTCTCTGTGAGCCCCCAGCTTCTCAGCTCACACTGTGCTTCACTGCTTACCTGAAAATCCATTTCGACCACCCATTTGCCTATCAAAGAAAGGGCACGCTCCCCCACCCCCTTTTCAGTCACAGCCTTGCAGGATGCCCGAGGTCCTGCCCCTCCTACATCAGGATCACCCTGTGGCCATACCTATCTCCACTGGCAGCAACCCCCATGCCACTGGCACTTCCCTGATTTCATACCTATTGATTTGGGATTACCCTCTTCTCTCTCTCTGCCTTGGTCCAGCCAGGCCAAGACCTCACCTCCTCCAGGAAGCCTCTGGTGAACACCCCAGCCATCATTCGGCAACCCTTGCTGGAAACCCTTCCATACTGCAAACTGCAAATTGCAAACTCCACAATCTGGCAGGTGGGTGCTCCTGCCTGGATTGTTTACTCATTACCAGTATTTCTCAAGCTGTAAGAAATCCCTTTCTACCCAACACACACACACACACACACACACACACACACACACACACACAGAGACCTGAACCCAGTTTCATGCCATCATACTATATAAAATGGCAATGATATACTCTGATATTTTGTTTTATTTTTTTAATGTAATCTTGACCCGCCCAATTGATCACAAGACACTATTGGATCGTGAGCAGCAGTCTAAAAAATGTTTTAGTGGCTAAGCTACGCCCTACTCCTTTATTTTCTTCCATTCGTTCATTCATTCATTCAATGAATATACTGAATACTTGCTGGGTTCCAGGTATAGTACCAGGAGTACAACTGAGTGTCTGTTAATTCCATCTTTCCTCCAAGACAGGAAGTTGAGAGAACATGCACCCTACCCCCACTGTGCGCTCGTCTTTACGGGGTGCAGGACTCACCCAGCACAGTGTGTGGGACAATGTGCAGCCCTGCTTTATTCCACCCTCTGAGGTCCAGCCTCTCTGAGGAGTAGGCATGCCATTTGATCTGCCAACCCCACCCAGCAGCTCACCCAGGAGGGCAGCTTCTGCCCACCATTTGGATGGAGGCTCCTATGTAGCCCCTGGATCTCGAATCTGGGCCTCCATAATCCCCAACTCTTCTTGTCCCCATGGGCCTCAGGCGGCTCCTGCTGGACCAAGGGTTCCCTGGTGACCCCACCTTCCACCCTGGCCTGAGTGGCTGGGGTTCGGTCCCTCAGCCACAGACATCAAGGAGCCCTGCCCTGATCACCCAGAAATGACAGTGGAGCTCCCAGAAATGACACTATGTTTGCAAAACTGCAGATGGGAGTAGCCTCTTAAAAACCCATGACCTTCATATCACAGCCTTCAGGTGACAAAGCACTTCCATATACACCAGTAGCAACGATGGTGACAGTAGTCAAGGACCTCTTATCCAAACTTCCTAGGGCCCGATAGTTTTCTGAATTCAGAGATTTTTGGATTTTGGAAAGGTAATACAATGCTTATCACTGTATATTACGTAACAGGCCAGTGGTATCTGAAGAGTGACTGTAAATTATGTAACAGGCCAGTGGTTGAACAGTGACTGTAAATAACCTCATATCTATGCAGGTCAGCTTTTATTACCAAACACATTCAGGTCAGATCCAGTAATGCTAGCAAACTGGTTTTGGGTTTTCAGAGTTTGGGGGATGTTGTAACTGGGGATGAGAAATTGTAAATCTGAAATAATAATAGCTATTTATGGAGCATTTATCAGATGTCAGACATGGAACTAAGTGCTTTCTATGCATGTGCTCATCCGATCCTTACAACCACCCCAGGAGGAAGCTTTCGGCGTGTCCAGTTTGCAGATGAGAAAACTGAGACTCAGAGTGGTGAAACCATCCATTCAGGGTCATGCTGTGACCCCAGGTCTATCTGGCCACAAAGCTGTCCCCGTATCCCCCCATCCCCCCTCCACCCTACTCGCAGGAACCCTGTACAGCTGAGACCAAACCCACTTGACAGGTGAAATAAGATATGGAAGGGGAGGGGGTGGAGGAGATGTGCCTTGGCAGCCTGTGCCCTTTCCTGGCCCTTGAAATGGGCAACACTGACCTGGGCCCATCCGGGGTACCCACACACTGGGCCTCGTGCTGACACGGGTTCAGATCTGGAGAGCAGAAGTCCACCAGCTGCTCACAGGCCCTTCCTGGGTGAAAAATTAGGCAGAGACCGAAGAGAAGCTGCCCCCACCTGCTCTGACAGGCAGCCGGCCCAGCAGAAACTTCCTGTAATGCTGAGGCAGGGCCCAGCCTTTCGGCCCACAGGCATGGACTCAGGGCATGCGCGCCGGCCCTCACCTCCCCACAGACACTGGAATCCCACATACCTGCATACTGCAGGGGGCACTGGCACGTGTAGTTGTCCACACCGTCCACGCAGGTGCCCCCATTGGCACAGGCATGCTCCACACAGTCGTCTGTGTTCACCCGACAGGTAGGTCCTTCAAAGCCGGTGGAACAGGAGCACCTGTGGAGGCAGGGAAGATGGGCGGGGGTGGGCACACGGTGGAGGCCTGTGGCTACCAGTCGGTATCATCACCCCAGAGTTTTGGTCCCTATTCCAGACCAGGTCCTTGCGAGGTGCTGGAGTTAGAGGTGAACAAGACCGGCTCTGTACTCAAGGGGCTCCAGTCAAGTGGGGGAGATGATGTGGAAACATGTGATCAGAAAAGAGGCGATTTGTATCAGGATGGTGCAGCGCGGAGGCTGGCGAGGGAAGACAAAGGGGCAAAGGACACCGAGCTCCTCCTTGGGGGCAGTGATCAGGGCAGGCTTGAGTTAGCTAAGGACCCTCATAGGGGAGAGTAGGAAGGGAAGGGAAGACAGTGGGGGCATGGGCCGGCCGAGTGGCGCGATGGTTAAGAACTGGCTTGGGATGCCAGAGGGCCCCGGTTTGGATCCTACATGTGAGGGCCAGTGACACTGCCCTCCACAGCTAAGATGCTGAACAACAGCTCAACCTGGAGCTGGGCTGCCGTGAGTCGTCGGAGGTGGTGTAGGCTGCAGCCACTGCTGCAGTGGGTTTCCATGGGCTACCTTATGTAGCCAGCAGCCAGTGTGAGCGGCCAGCAGCCGCTGTGAGCGGCCATCCAGAAGCCGGCGACTGATCTGCCTCGCCCGGGAAGAGCGCAATGATGGTGCCAACTTGGGCCAGTGAAGCAACGTCCTCCACAACTAGACTGAAGAACAAAAATGACAGCAACTTGTCTGTTCCCCTTCCCCCAATTCCCCAGCACTGTTCCCATCCCCCCAATTCCCCAATAAAAATCTTAAAAAAAAAAAAAAAAGACAGTGGGGGAGAGGCGTGTGCAGAAACCTGGAGGAGATCCTACAGTCAGTCCTCTGGGAGGGGGCCTGCTCATCCCAATAGTTCAGGCCTTCAGGAGCACAGACTTCAGGGACGGGGTAAGAACGGGGCTAGGTGCTAAGCAAGCACAGGCTGTGGAGGGCCCTGGCGGTCTGTGCTCTTCAGACCAGGTGTACCTTCCCCTGGGACATCTGGGGTCTTCCAAGGGATATGGGTCAGAGAGGTCTGAGAAATTAATTTCTGGATCTTCAAGTTCTACACAAACTCTTCTCCAGACTGACCTGCCCCAGAGCTCTAGAAAGGTGCACGCACCTCTCCCAGCCCAAGTCCAAGGTGGGACATGCCCGGGGCCTAAAATCCTCAGGCCCAAATAAAAGGACAGTTAGGAATATTGATGTTTTAGAAATGAATGAACAAATGGCTTTTGCAAGTCAAGAGGTTTCGAGTTCCCTGTGTTAAAAATAATTGAAGGAAGACCTCACAGAATTGTCAGCTGATAGAGCATTAAAAATAATTTTTGATGACAGATCACTCTGGGGTTTTGGCATTTAAACTCGGAAGGGTTTCAAAGACTTGAGTAACATTGCTATAATAAAACTCCTAATCCTGTGGGTTTATTTATGTGACCCAACTTTCTCAGCATTAATAGCTATATACTTGTATATATATGGAATAGATTGGCTGCTGAGCCCTCTCTCATTCAGTAAGATTCACCCATGGACACATAAATGAACTAAGAGAAGAAAAGAGCACCAACAACAAAAAAGCTCCATCTATCTCATTAAGAGATGCATCTAATAAAATTTTACTTTTATGTATACTAATTATCAATCAAATTTTGTATACAGTAATGTCGTTCTGATCAATTATATATTATTGATAATTATAATGGTAACCCAATGCAAAAGAAACCTTTAATCAGAGGCTTATGGTCACAAAAGTAAGAGAAAAACTTTAAATTTAATCTTATACACCCATGTTGGTGCCAGAGAAGTATGGCAGGGCGCTCAAGGAAAGACTCTAGCTCAGCGGTTCTCAACCTTCCTGATGCCACGACCCCTTCATACAGTTCCTCATGTTGTGGTGACCCCCAACCATAAAATTATTTTCGTGGCTACTCTCTAACTGTAATTTTGCTACTGTTATGAATCGTAATGTAAATATCCTTTTGTTTTCCAATGGTCTTAGGCGACCCCTGTGAAAGGGTCGTTCGACCCACAAAGGGGTCGCGACCCACAGGTTGAGAACCGCCGCCTAGCATAAAACAGATTGCACTAGATGGAAAACAGCGGAGGGGCACGGGGAGCAAAATGGAAATACTCGTTCAAGAAGAAAAAAAATGGGATACATAAATGTTTAAACTGTAAAAGAGGAGTCTGTAGTTTTTAAATGGTATCAAACTGCTGTACTATTCAGAGTACATTGGAGAATGATAAAAGTGTGATTTACAGAGTGATAGTAATTTTCTTTCTTTCTTCCTTTCTTTCTTTCTTTCTCTTTTTCTCTCTTTCCTTCTTTCTTTCTTTCTTTCTTTCTTTCTTTCTTTCTTTCTTTCTTTCTATTTTTGATTTTATTAGGGAACAGCCATAGTCATTGGTTATACATTACTTTCATTCTATGATGGCATAGTTGACTCTTTTAGGGAGGGTGCAGCTCACAGTGGCCCATGCGGGGAATCAAACCAACAACCTTGGTGTTGTCAGCACCATGCTCTAACCAACTGAGCTAACTGGTCACCCCGATTATTTTATTTTATTTTATTTATTATTTTTAAGTTCTTTTTAAAAAATTTTTCTTTCTTTCTTTCTTTCATTTTATTTTATTTTATTTTATTTTATTGGGGAACAGTGTGTTTTTCCAGGGCCCATCAGCTCCAAGTTGAGTAGCGTTGTTTCAATCTAGTTGTGGAGGGCACAACTCAGTGGCCCATGGGGGAATCAAACCAGTAACCTTGGTGTTATGAACCTGTGCTCTTACCACCTGAGATAACCGGCTGCCCTGACTCCAAGTTGAGTAGTTGTTTCATTCTAGTAGTGGAGGGCACAACTCAGTGGCCCATGGGGGAATCGAACCGGCAACCTTAGTGTTATGAGCACTGCGTTCTAACCAAGTGAGCTAACTGGTCACCCCTAGTGTTTTCTTTTTTTTATACCTGGTAGTTTGAGTTTGCAGAGACAGGTTTGGCCTTTCTGCCAGTGGATACATCATTTTCTGAAGAGCCAATTTGTTTGACTGGCCATTTATTTTCAGCAACTAAATATCAAGTATTCCTCAGAAAAGCTCTGGGTCCAGGAGAGCACTAGGAGGTGGAGGGCTCGCTGAGGTGTTCTGGGAGAAGCAGGGTCAGTGAGGGGATTTGCATGATGATGTCAGCACTAGGAGGACTTGAGAGATGAGTCTTGAGGGCCAGCCCTTCACTGAGCAGCGGGAAACTGGCTGTTCTTGTGGGACCAGTGGGACCCATGAGATGATGGCGGTGGGGACTGAGGCCCCGGAGGGTGTGGCCAGGACTTGCTGCCACCTCTGGGCAGGCCTCCCCACCCCTGTCTCAGGGACTTGGGGTGGTTAGTTGACAGGAAGAAGCTGACAAAGGGCCCCTGCCTTCAAGCAACATTGGCACAAGCAGATGTTTGACTTGAATTGGAGGCCTCAGGTTAGTGGAGATTATAGGGGTTCAAAATGGCCCCAAACTGCCCCTTGGCACTGCCACTGCATATGCCCTTGGCCATGGATTCTCAGTGCCATCAGAAGGCCCTCCTGGCACCTGGGAAGTTCAGATAGAGGCCAGGAGCAGGGGTGGGCAGCTCCGCTGGAAGCCCAGCCTCACCCTACCTGTTGTGTGACTCCAGCAGCCCCTAATCTCTGGGAGCTTTCATTGCCTCTGGGCAACAGGGGCTTTGGCTGGGTGGGTGTGGAGAGGCTTCCACTGAGTGTTCCCTCTGAGCCTATCTCCATCTCAAAGCAAAAGGGTTGGGGCCTGGCTGTCCATTTGGAGGAGGAGGGCACTGAGGCTTGAGTGCTGGCCCCCATCAGCACCCTGCCCACCAGGTCTGGCCCCTCCAGGCAACTCACGTGAAGTCAGCATCCTCGCCTTCCTGTGAGTGGCAGGTTCCGCCGTTTTCACAGGGGCTACTGGAACAGCTGTCCAGGGACACCTCACAGTCTCGGCCCTAGGGAGAAAGTCAGTGATGGGGATCCCAGGGAGAAGCAGGGGGTAGTGAGAGCCAGCAGAGCCGGCCAGCCCCTGCTGCAGCGTGGCCTGCCTGTCCCAGGGGTTACTCGTTCATCCGTTCATTCATTTATATGTTGGGTCACTGATTAAACGTTCACTCAAGCACCCGCTCTGGACCAGGCACTGCTCTCAGGGCACTGGGGGCAGAGTGCGGAACAAGACAGCCCCAGCTTTGCTCTACCGCACACTTGAGCAGCCCCCCCTCCCCTCTCGGTCTCCACTCACCTTATAGCCGCTGGGGCAGGTACACCTGTATACCTCAAGGGGGTCATTATGGCAGGTGCCCTGGTTCTGGCACGGGCTGGACAAGCAGGGATCACACTTGGCCTGGACAGCCAGCGTGGGGGGACCTGAGGCAAGGGGGAGGGGGTTAGTGCAGGGAGGAGGGGGCGGGGCCCAGAGCCCCTTACCTCCCCAACCCCCAGCATCCCAGCCCTCAGAAATGGGTGGTCAGAAGCTTTCACCAAGGAGATTGTTACCACTCCCTGTATTTCCTCTGTGTTGGGTTCACCCTCCTGTCACAGCCCTCGTCTCCAGCCTCCAGACCCTACTCAAAACGAGGTCAAGAACAGTCTCTGCCTCACAGGCCATAGGACTAAATTTGCTAACCCACAAAACGTGCTTAATGGGCTGGTGCCAGGCACCTCAGAAGCCCCCACATGGGGGTCAGGGCAGCGCCATCAGTGTGAGGTCACCATAGTCGCTATTACTGAAGTCAGCTCACCTTTTATCGGTCCCCTAACACCCTTCTGAGGCAACAACCCTGAGTCCTGTCACCCGCTGACCGGGATAACGAGGGTAGACACCTTGGCAGAGAGGAGACACAGCTCTGCGAGGAAGCCACACTTAGGAGGAAAAGGTCCATTTGCCTTAAAGTTGTTTCTCTAAAGCTGAGCAGGGAAGGACCCTTTCCTGTCACCTCTCTGGCTACAAACCGGACCTTCTCCAACCCCTCCAGGACTCACTTGTCACCCTTCCCTGAACTCGGAGGTGGACAAGGAGCTGGCAGCCAGGCTCCCTGGGCACTTCCTACGAGGGGAATTAGGACCCCTCACAAGAATAAACAGTTAAGAGCAGCCAGCTAACTCAGTTTTCCACTTAAGACTCCTTCTAGATGTGGAGAAACAGTGGTTCTGCGGAAGGGGCATGAGTATGAAAAGACAGAAACACTTTTCAGTAATCACTGGAATGAAGTGTGAGGGGACTTCCTGAGTACACGTGGGGTTCTGCCTCTAGATCTGGGTGCTGGTTACTTGTGTGCATTCAGTTTGTGAAAATTCAGCAAGCATTCACTTACGATCTGTGTACTTTTCTGTTATGTGTGTTATATTTCAATAAAAAGTTTCAAAAAACAAAACAAAAAAAATTTCTCACCAGTACCAGCCTCATACGATTAAATAAATCTTGAGCAAATGTTTCAACATAAATTGGCCTGTTCCCAACAGCCAACAGCCAGGCCACAGATCGGGCCCCTCTGAACTGTTACTCCTGTGACAGCATCCTGCACACAGGGTGGCCCCGGGGCCTCCTCATTAACCTAGGGCTGTCAGTTTCATTTCTGATGGTGGTCCATGAGCTTGCAGAGGGCAGGGGCCATGCCCCACAGCCTCCAGTGAGCTCCCCCAGCTGTCCCCCAGCACACAAAGCTGGGCCTGGGGCAGCCACTCAGCCACCTCCCTCTGCTCAGCGGGGCTCCCGGGGCTTGGGCTGTCAGTCAATCAATCTGAACAAGCATTTATAGATGCCCAGGGTGAGGTGCCTTTAGAGCAAAGCCAGACAAGCCTCCGATCACACTCTGGCCCCGTATTTCTGCAAATGTCAGGAGAGTCACAGCTGGGCCCAGTGGCTCAGGGGTTTAAGCTAATTGCTGAGCACAATTCCACCAAAGGGAGGCCTGAGTGCTCGCACTGATGAGAGGCTTGGAGCTTCCAGAAATGCTGCTGCTATTTTTATTTTCCTTTCATTTTCCTTGCATAACCCCAGGGAGGGATTAAAGCCTGAGATTTTCTGCCTGGCTTTTCCCCTTCATTGTTATGTCAGGACTAGAAGGCAGCTCTGCTAACAAGCCGCAGGTGCCTCATTCCTGCCACCTGACCACCCCTCCCCCGCCCCAGCCAGTCACCACAGGGAGCATCTGGATGGCACAGCCAGGGTTGCACAGGTCCTGTGGGCCGCCAGCAGTGTGAGGCAAGTACCCAGCACCCGCTGCCTCTCTCTTGTGCTCCTGGGCTCACCTTGGCATTCAAACTTCTTGGCAGGCGTGGTAAGGAGCAGCTTGCCCTCCATGTCTGAGGGCCCAGCGCAGCGGGCAATGCCCGGTTCCTTGTAGCCTGTCTTCACCCAACCAGACAGCCAACGGAGGTGGCAGTCACAGTACAGGGGGTTGGCACCAATGGCCCTGGGTAAGAGAGCAGAGAGAACCAGGCATTATAGCTTTATGGGGTCCTTCATCACTAGGCACCTAGGGTGCAGGGCACTATGCCAGGGGCTGGCAAAAATCCCAACAGCCCCCATTTCACAAGCATGTACTGTGGTTCCAAGCCCTTCATATGTGTTACCTTACTTAGTCCTCAACACACCCTACTATCCCCATTTTGCATGTTGAAACTGAGGCTCAAAAAGATGAAGGCACTTGCCTACGATTGCAAGGAGAAAGGGGGGAGGTGGGATTCGAATTCATGCTGTTGAGGCCATAGCCTATGAATGTACTGCCTCCAGAGTGCACAGGGGCGAAAGAAACCAACATATACCTCTGCAATGAGCCAGCTGCTTGTCCCACGGTAGTGCATCTAGCCCTCTCCTTAGACCCGCCGTGTAAGGTTTTTTCCCTCCATCTCAGAGATGTGCGAACTGAGCCTCTCGTGGCATAAATCATTTCCCTGAAGTCACACATCTAGAGAAGGGTTCCCCTGGATCCAGACCCAGAGCTTTATGACTCTGAAGTCCACACTCTTCAATTTTTCTTTTCATTTTTAATTAAACAAGGAGCACACGAATGCATTCTCACCATAATCCACCTTCAAGCATAGCACACCAAAATCTCCACCTCACACAACATTGTGAAGGTACTAAAGGCCACCGAATCGTACACATTAAAATGGTTACTTTTATATTATAAGAATTTGACCTACATATTTTTAAAAGGCACATTCCTATGCCTCTGATGGCAGTGCAAAATGGAATAACTCCAGTGGAGCGGAATTTTGTGATATCTATCAAATTACCAGGGCAGTTGCCTTTTGACTCAGCAATTCTGTTTCTGGGAGTTTGTTTCACAGATATACCTGGACAAGCACATAAAAACATCTGTGCAATGGTCTGATCACAGTGTTTCTTGCAATCAGAACACTGGAACCATGGGTCAACAATGGGGGAGTGGTTAAATAAACTACGATACATTCACATTACAAAAAATAGTCTAGGGCTGACTGAGTGGCTCGTTAGTTAAGAGTTGGCTTGGAAACGCGAGCTCTGAGCAGCAGGGCCACCGGTTCGGATCCCACATATGAGGGCCAGTGACACTGCCCTC